CTTTGTTGAGGAGTTCAGAAGATTGTTTTTTTTTTTTTTTTTTTTTTTTTATATATAAATGGGAAGCGATAATTTGAAGTGGAAGCAACGACTGATTTTCTTAGGTAAAGCATAGCTGGAGAACTCTGATTGAAAATAATATATATGTCTGTAATGATGTATTGGGTTGTCGGAAAAGTCACGGCACATTTTGGCATAGAAAACCAGAAAAATATATGTCACGACTTTCCAAGAACCCAATACTTCTCTTTTTCTCTTTTTTTAAATTATATGGGTATTTTAAGTGAAAACATGCTGGACAAATAAATTGTGTTTTGTAGTAAATATGGAGAGACGTAGAGCTGTTTGACCCTTTGACTGATGAGAGACGGGCCATAGAGTTTCACAGGAGATGCACAGAAGGGGATTCAGGAAAAATATAAGAAAATATAACAAAGAAATATCCTCCTGGAGTATTTTAGGAGTGAGACTAGAAACGCTAATGTAGAAAAGGAGATAAACAAAGATATTAAAAGGCAATGAGGGGCCAGCAAGTGGGACAGTTGTCAAGGTGCTGGACCCCCACATGGCCGACCACTGGTTGAGTTCCAGACCTGCTTTCTCACTTTTCCTCTCTCTCTCTCTCTCTCTCTCTGTCTCTCTGTCTCTCTCTGGTGAGCACACACGCCCTGTAGCAGATTAAAAAAAAATGATGATAAATAAAATTAAATAAATAATTCTTTAAAAAAGAAAGGGAAGTGAAAAATATATCAGGAAAGAGTAAAAGTACAATGTCATTCCTTGCCAGAGAGAGAGCCTGTGGGTTCATTTCTGTGTGTAGGAAGGAGAAAATTCTAAAATGAAGGCACATTATAAAGGGAAGGGTCTTGAAAACTTTAAAAATGAGTTTTACCTGACAGATGATAAAGGGTATAAAATTTAAAACAGTTCCAAAGAAGAGGACCTTAAGATCCCCAAGAATGCAGACCTGGCCTTGGTGGGCAAATCAACCCAGTGGGTGCAGGCTTGGGGGCCACATTAGACTTTCCGGTCTGACGTTAAAGATCAGATACATCCCTATGACGGGCTGCTTAACCTGTCACAGCTTCACACGTCATAAAGAATGGCCCTGGAGTTGGAACTGATTTCCTCTGATTACATGAGTGAGACACGGGGACACAGGAGGAGGACACATTCATCGTCACCTGGTGCACTCCTTGAAATCATCCTAGGTTCAAGACCTTTCTCTCCCCATCACTCTCACCCACTACCCTATCACAGCTTTTCTGTGCTTATTTGCAACTCTCTCTCTGCTGTAGGAAAGGACAGCTAATTATCTACCATGCAGATTGAATTCAAGGTGCAAGGTATCTATCAAGTGTCTCCACATAGAGACAGAAAACTTCCGGAGAGTCACTCGTTCGTTTGTGAGAGAGAGCTGGACTGTCTGCAGTCTATTAGGTTTTTGCTAGGTACCAGACAGAGAGTGGGGAGCAGCTGGTGTCTGCTGGGAGCCGACTGCTTGGTGCATGCGGGCGGCCAGAGAACAGGCAACTAGAATTCAGGGTGCTGCTCCCATGGACTGCTCCCATGGTGACCACCCCTGCTTGCTCCGGGATGCTCAGCAGGACTCCTGGCACAGACAGGAGTGTGGGAAGGAAGGTGGCTAGCACCCACTTCCAAGAAAGAGTGACGCCTAAGCCTAGGTCTAACTGTGGAGCTGGAATCTGCCAGCTGAAGTAGGCCTGGAGGCACAGAGACCTGTGTTTAGGCAGCCAGAACCACAGTGCCATCGAGTTAACTGGGCAGGGTAGAGAACCCGCAATGACAGAAATATCCTGAAGCATAGGCATGTTGAATGGTGGGGTCTATGTGTGATAGTTCCTAAAAATAATATTTGTTAAAAACTCCACCAACATCCAGCCAGACCTGGAAAAGAAACTCCAGGAGGCTAATGTGGCAGTTGCTTGTGTAAGAGTGCTACAAGTTGTTTGCGATGGAGACTGATGAATAATCTTATCTGGAGACGAATAATCTAGCATGGGTTCTGAACACTCAGTTCTTTGGTGGCCCATTGTATGGGGAGCTGAAGGGCTCATCGATAGGGCTACCAGAGGCTGCAGGATGTTCTTCAGGAGTTAGTTATGGAGTTTTGGCTTTTCAGGGTTGAAAAACCTTTACAGACACTTGAGTCCTACCCTCTGGCTGATGCTCGAATCATTTCATCACCTCCGAAAATCGGTTGAGGATTTTGGTTTGTGCTTGAAAATCTGGGCATTTGGTTTCCATTCTGACTGTAAGACAGTTCTAGTCCTACTTTGTGGCCAAACAGATGGTGTATATGGTGAGTAGGTAGTGGAGACTACACGCCTGAAGGGAATCGCCTGAGTACATACCCCGGCTCTGAAATGGACTAGCTGGGTGTGACCTTGGGTTGGTCCTCTCATTGCATGTGATGGTTTGTCCCCCAAAGTTTCGTGTTTTGAAATTTGATGTTGAGGGGTGGTGAGACCTAGTGGATGGTGATTGGGATCACAGTCATTGCATCATGGAGGCAGCACTGTGGTGAATAGATTAACGATGTCTCTGGAGACCCAATGAGTTCTAGCTCTCCTGAGAAGGGGTTAGTTCTCGCGAGAGCTGGTTGTTCTATAAAACGGCTGGCTGCTCGCAGCTTGTGCTCTCTCTGCACACACCTGCCAGCCATGGCTGCTGTCAGCCATGCCATGGGCTGGCCTATTGCCAGGCCTATGCCTTTGAACTTTCCAGCTGACAGATTTGTGAGTTAACTCCCCATTTCTATAAATACTCAGTCTCAAGTATTTTGCTAGCAGTGCAAGAACAGTCTAAGACACCTCTCTACTCCTCAGATTATGCATCAGTAAAATGGTAACAGCACTTATCCCACAGGGCTGTTGTTTGGAACAAACAATAAGTACATGTGACCTGCTCCACATAGTGTGTGTGTGTGTAATGAATGCAGGTCATTGTGCGCAGTGGTTACTCCCCTTCCTTTTTTTTTTTTTTTGAGAGATTTTTGCTATAGGGTGCGTGTGCTCACCAGGCAGACAGAGAGAGACAGAAAGCAAGGAATCACCCCTTGGGGGATGGCCATGCCACAATCCCTTCTCCATTCTCCTCTTGGGATCTTGGGCACACATGCACATGCACCCAGCAGGAGTTTTAAGCCACCAGGTCTGGGACATGCACCACGGTTGACTATGTGGGAGTCCAGCGACATAGCCATTATGCTAACTGCTGGTCCCCTCCCCTTCCTTTTTTTTTTTTTTTGAGAGATTTTTGCTATAGGGTGCGTGTGCTCACCAGGCAGACAGAGAGAGACAGAAAGCAAGGAATCACCCCTTGGGGGATGGCCATGCCACAATCCCTTCTCCATTCTCCTCTTGGGATCTTGGGCACACATGCACATGCACCCAGCAGGAGTTTTAAGCCACCAGGTCTGGGACATGCACCACGGTTGACTATGTGGGAGTCCAGCGACATAGCCATTATGCTAACTGCTGGTCCCCTCCCCTTCCTTTTTTTTTTTTTTTGAGAGATTTTTGCTATAGGGTGCGTGTGCTCACCAGGCAGACAGAGAGAGACAGAAAGCAAGGAATCACCCCTTGGGGGATGGCCATGCCACAATCCCTTCTCCATTCTCCTCTTGGGATCTTGGGCACACATGCACATGCACCCAGCAGGAGTTTTAAGCCACCAGGTCTGGGACATGCACCACGGTTGACTATGTGGGAGTCCAGCGACATAGCCATTATGCTAACTGCTGGTCCCCTCCCCTTCCTTTTTTTTTTTTTTTGAGAGATTTTTGCTATAGGGTGCGTGTGCTCACCAGGCAGACAGAGAGAGACAGAAAGCAAGGAATCACCCCTTGGGGGATGGCCATGCCACAATCCCTTCTCCATTCTCCTCTTGGGATCTTGGGCACACATGCACATGCACCCAGCAGGAGTTTTAAGCCACCAGGTCTGGGACATGCACCACGGTTGACTATGTGGGAGTCCAGCGACATAGCCATTATGCTAACTGCTGGTCCCCTCCCCTTCCTTTTTTTTTTTTTTTGAGAGATTTTTGCTATAGGGTGCGTGTGCTCACCAGGCAGACAGAGAGAGACAGAAAGCAAGGAATCACCCCTTGGGGGATGGCCATGCCACAATCCCTTCTCCATTCTCCTCTTGGGATCTTGGGCACACATGCACATGCACCCAGCAGGAGTTTTAAGCCACCAGGTCTGGGACATGCACCACGGTTGACTATGTGGGAGTCCAGCGACATAGCCATTATGCTAACTGCTGGTCCCCTCCCCTTCCTTTTTTTTTTTTTTTGAGAGATTTTTGCTATAGGGTGCGTGTGCTCACCAGGCAGACAGAGAGAGACAGAAAGCAAGGAATCACCCCTTGGGGGATGGCCATGCCACAATCCCTTCTCCATTCTCCTCTTGGGATCTTGGGCACACATGCACATGCACCCAGCAGGAGTTTTAAGCCACCAGGTCTGGGACATGCACCACGGTTGACTATGTGGGAGTCCAGCGACATAGCCATTATGCTAACTGCTGGTCCCCTCCCCTTCCTTTTGACAGTCTTCCACTATTTACAAAATGACAGGTTCCCAGATCTTCTCTCTTCTTGCACAAACATTTCTAACTGTGTCCACTACTTCTCGTGGACTGTAACACTGACTTTTCTTATCATCTGGGTAGTGCCCTCTGGTCAAGTCTGTGCCCCTGACCTTGAATCTGGGGGTCTGTTGTGTGACCAGCAGAGGAGGACAGAGCTAGCTTGACCTTTGCTCTACGTAATATGCTCGTGTTAATGCAGCCCAGTGTCATAGCAGCCATACCACACAGGCCACTTGTGGAACTTATTAAAGTCCCTAAGAATTTCCCCAAAGTGCTGCTTCTAGACCCAGTGTTACTTAGTATAGATGACAGTGATCTGGGTAAGGAAATAGAAAGTGTGCTTGTAATGCCTGCACTTGAAGATGACTTGGTAAGTTGAACTGGCAGAGGTAAACAGCCTAGGGTTTCATAAGATCTTTTGCTAGGGCCCTAAGAAAGAAAAAAAGAAAAAGGAAAAACAAAGTAAATCAACCAAACATCTCAAATCCAAATAGTGAAGTTCTAGGGGAAAGAAAAAGGGACTTTGCAGAATTGCAAGCTCTAAGTTCAGGGTCTACCCTCAAAGTAACCATGGAAACCTCCTGGGATAACCAGAGCCGAGTGCCCAGAATGTGGGAGGTGAAGGAAACTGGGCAAAGGGACTTACAGTATTGATCCAAGGAGGAGAAGACAAAGGTGTGCTCAGTGACATGTAAATGTAGGCTTTTAATGACTGGGTTTCATCACAGCCCAGCTTTAATTAGCACCTCTGGAAGATAAAAGGCTCTTATCCAAAGTCTAGGAGATCTATGGCCTTAGGATCAGACAGACCTGAGTTCTAATCCTAACTCTGGCACTGATTAGCAAGTTACTTAACCTTTTGAAGTCAGTTTCCTCATCTGTGAAATGGAGATAAAAATAGGACTTACCTCACATTGGGCAGTCTTAGATAATGTATTAAAGTACTGAGCCCAGTGACTGGCCCATAATTAGCAAAATATTATTATCCTTCATCTTCTTGACAGACTAAGAGGTCACTGGGTCAAATTGGCTTCTTACAGATTGAGGTTGGATAAAAGAAAAACTCAATAGGAGCCAGCAGGTGGTGTGGAAGTTAAGTTGCTGGATCCCACATGGCCGACCCTGGTTGGAATCCCAGACCCAACGGCTTGAAAATCATGGCAGGCATGTGTGCATGCATGTTCAAAAATCCCAAGAGGAGAATGGAGGAGGAGAGCCATCCCCCTGGGGAATGATTGCTCACTTTCCCTTCTCTGTCTCTCTCTAATATCTCTCTCTTTTTTTTAATGCTTTTTTTTGGAGAGTTTTTTGCTATAGGATATGCATGCTCTCCAGAAAGACAGAGACAGAGAGACAGAAAGCAAGGAATCACCCCTTGGGGGATGGCCATGCCACAATCCCTTCTCTTTCATTTTCTCCCCGGGATCTTGGGCACGCACGCACTCACACCCAGCATGAGTTAAAGCCACCGGGTCCAGACCTCGAACCGCAGTCGACTACATGGGAGTCCAGAGATGTAGCCCTCCTGGGGAGCCCAGATATGTAGCCATTATGCCAACTGCTGGTCACCCTCTCTAACTCTCTCTAGCAAGCTTACACACTGCCTCTCTCCAGAGAACACACACACACAAACTATATATATATATATATATATATAATTTCTTCATTAACAACTTATGTCTAAGTAAAAAAATAATAAAGTCCAAATAATATATTAATAGTGTAAGTATATAACTGCAAATATTGGGTGTTCAGAAAAGTCCAAACTATATATATATATATATATATATTTCACAAGGGCGAGTTAAACACTGAAATGGTTAAGTGGAGAGTGTCATCAAATTGGATCTGTAAATATTTAATAACGAACAGGGCATCAGGCACGTATAGTTGGGTGCTACAAACATGGTTCTGTTTGCTGTGGGAAGACACTCGATTTACCAGCTTCTCAGTCTGCTGCAAAGAGAGGCCTCCCGCGATGAACACAGTCGCACTTCTTGAAAGAGCTTGTATTTCAAACAAGGCAGGCCCCTGGTTGTGGTTGGCGTTGGCCCATGGCGTTTCCTCCGTTTCTCCATCTTGTCAAAGTCCCTCTCGGGCCCTGCATAGGGTCCCCACCTGAAAACAGAAGCACTCAGTAAACATTTCGTCTTTACAGTTCGTGACTTTGCATCTCTAGATAATGAGAGTTCTTCTCTGCTTCAATCCCTGACTAAGAGTGAACACATCTGTTTCTGGGATGTGCAGCTAAAATTAGCAGTGATGGAAGGCCAGTGAATAACCCTTACGGCTGGGTCCCAGAGCTAGCTCTTCCTGTGGCTGAGACCTGAGTGAGGCGTCCCTCCAGGCATCTGCAGATGAATCAGCTGTTCATTCTTCTCCCGTGTGGTGGATTTGGGGATTTTGCCACGTTCTTCTCCTTGGCCTCCTGTAGTTGACATAATGTCATGTCTATTGACAGTTTCATAATTCCCAAATACTTAATCTGAAGCCATACTCAATTATTAATTACATTTAGGAAAAAGTGGTGTTTTTAAGACTATGGATCCCTTGAAAGAAAATTTCAGACATTTCTAAGTGTGTGCTTCAAGCTGTATTTCTCATGGACTACCATATTCACTTTAAAAATGCTTACTTATAATTATTTCCCCTTTTAGTTTGTTTCTTCTTTAAAAGTTGAGATTCTCTTTTATACGTGTAGCCAAAAGGTATGGGTACTCGAGAGAGGGAGAACAAGCACGCCCAATGGTGCACGGTCACATCACAGTTCTTTTCCTCCATTTCGGCAAGGTCTCCATCCTGCTGTTGCTGAATTTGGGGCACACACACTTGTGCCTCGTGTGTTTTTCAAGCAGCCAGGTATAGGATTCCAGCTGCGTCAGCCACGTGGATTTGACTCCTAATGTGCAGAGCTTAGCCCCTGTGCTACGGGACTGGCCCAAGACACACTTTCATTTTCTCTTTTAAGCTTACGTATTTATGTCTTCCACATAAAGAGAAAGAGACAGAAAGAGAGAGAGAGAGAAGGAGAGACAGGCGTACACAGCAGATCCGTTTGCCTCGATTCTCCAGTCTCAGCGGGCTCAGACCACAGACATGAACGCTCAGACCCGGCATGCTCACGGCAGTACCAAGACATGAACCCAGGACCTTTTCCATTTGGGCCCAGCTGTGCCACCCCTGTGCCACCCCATGGCCCTTGGATATAATTTATGTCTTAAAATACACAGATCTGAAATGTGCAATTCTACGCATTTTGACAAATACACGTCCCCTTGCAGCCCACCTTGCTAGCAGGGTGTCTTTTGGTTTTCGAGCTGACTAGTCTTGAAACCCACAGTTCTCAGTGTCTGCTCATGGGTTCTTGGAGGTCAAAGGGTCATCGATCTCTTGTTCATGGCTGCCTTTTCGGCCTCAGACACTGAACCTGGCCCATGTGATGCACACAATAAATATTAAATGAGTAAGTGACTGAGAAATTAAGTCTGCCCTTACTTTATTTATGTAGCGTTGTCAGCTCAGAGCTTTGGCATAGCGTGCTGTTTTCCAAAGTCCTCCACAATCATCAGCTCCTTCCCCTGCTCTGTGTGTGTGTCATGTGTGAGTAATCACTATGCAGACTAACAGGTTAGCACATTTCAATAGAAACAAGTCAACTTGCAGGGATGGTTTGTTTATACAATCTTTATTTTCAGCCTCTTGATCACAGTAATCAGTGCTCCCTTAGCGAAGTAATTTTTTTCTATGTGGCAATTACTCACAAGTAGGTAGATCTGACCAGGGCTGGGTGCCTGTTACATGCTTTCTCTGTCTTGCTCAAGCTCTAAATATAGTCACTGTACAGTGTTAGGAGGACATAGAGTAACATTAATTTCAAAGACTTTGCATGTTTCAAAAATAGCTGGTTTCAAGTGGGTGAGTTTTTGAGAAGGCCAGCCTTGCTGAAATTCTCACCATCCCTCATTTTCATTTTGTTGCAGCTAATCACCCCCCAGAATGGACGCTATCAGATAGACTCTGATGTCCTCCTCATCCCTTGGAAGCTCACGTACAGAAATATTGGCTCCGATTTCATTCCTCGGGGGGCCTTTGGAAAAGTGTACTTAGCACAGGATATAAAGACAAAGAAAAGAATGGCGTGTAAATTGGTATGTACTTTCTCATCAGACAACGCACCCTACGTGTTTGGCATTCTGGCTTTTGTTTGTTTATTTGTGCTAGCCAAATGTACCCTCCCGTTGACAGTTTAATCTATTTGATTGATAGTTAAAGGTGCTGGCTTATTTATCATCGTTTGGATAGCACTGTACTTCTGGAGGAGGAGCAGGGGTGCTATCTTGCAGTGCCAGAGCAGGTATATGAGGGGGTGGTCTTTAGTAAATTCACGGAAATTGTGTACTCTGAAAAAACTATGCATGGATTTCAAAACATTTTTGCACCAAAACAAACTTGTACTGTAATCCCATTTTTCCATGACCTTTTTTGGAGCGCCCTCATATGAACTCACTCCGTTCATCAACTCATTCCATTCATCCTGCCCACTGGAGAAAGGTCTGAATTGAATTACATGCATTACTGAAAAGACCCCTTCTCAGGATGACCCTGTAGCCTAGTGGGTAAGGGAACCAGATCCCACATGGTCGACCGTGGTTCAAATCCCAGCACCAGCAACTTGAAAAACCTACTAGGTGCACGTGTGTTGGCGTGGAGGATGGGGACATGAAGGAGAAAGGATCGTGGCATGACAGTGCCCCGTGGTGGGGGGATGCCTTTATCTCTGTCTCTTTCTTTGGCAAGTACACAAGCCCAGTGACAATTTAAAATCAGAAAGGAAGAATAGAAGAGGGGAGCGGGGAGAAGGAAGGAAGGAAGGAAGAAAAGATGCCCTTCTCTTATTAAATAATAACTTTTAAGTTCCTGCCACTTTGGAAAACTCTTTGACAATATCTACCTAGGCTGAGCGTTCATACATGCCGTGACCCAACAACTGTGGAGTGCATTTGTGGTTACACCCAGCAGAGGTGTGGCCACTGTCACAGAAAGCGAAGAGCTCTGTACTGACATGTTTATATCAATCCCATTTCTGAGAGTCCCAACCTGAAAACTTCCTAGGTACTGAGATGTGATATAGTTACACAGTGGAATACGGGGCACCAAAGAGGACATAGGATTTTGTTGTAATGTAAATGAATCACATAAACTATCATGATGTAAATGAACCTTATAGCCAATGTTGAGCCCAAACAACCAAATACAAAATAAGATTGGTGTGAGATTCTACTTATGTAAAGGATTAAGCCAGGCAGGTCAAATCCTTGCTTCTGGAGGTCAGGATAGCAGGTGCTTGTGGGGAGCAGGGAGTGGGAGGGGTCAAGAGGGAGTGTCTTCCCTGCTGGTCGAGTTCTGTTCTATTTATCTGAGGACTAATTTGTGTGTTCAGCTGATAACTCGCTGAATTTGACACCATTTTTACACGGCTATGTATATCTATTTTCCTTTAATTAACCAAGTGCAATAAAATACACTCAGTTTTAATTTAGTAAAAATGAAAGTAGTTGTTAATATCATGTCTCAGTATCCCTTACTATTATTAAAAGACCAATAATATGTTGGCTTTATTTGTCCCTTTATAAAAATTTATTTACTAGAGTATTATTATTATAATTTTTTTTTTTGCCAGAGGGTGGGTTCACTTGCCAGAGAGGGGAATGGAGCCCCTTATGGGGCATGGTCAAGCCACAATTCTTTCTCCTCCAAGTCTCTATGCCAGGATCATGGCCACGCATACATGTGCACTTGATGTATTTTCAAGCCACCAAGGTCAGAATTCAAACTGTGATCAGCTGTGAGGGATCTAGCTTCCGGAACTGCTAAGCCATGTGGCCAGTCCAAGGTCAAAATATTCTGAAAGGTATTTACTTGCCTGCTGGTTTGTGGATAGATAACTTTAAAGTTATCCTAGGGTTATTCAGAACCTTGTATTTGTTGTGTTCTAGATCCCAGTAGATCAGTTTAAGCCATCTGACGTGGAAATCCAGGCCTGCTTCCGGCACGAGAACATTGCAGAGTTGTATGGTGCAGTCCTGTGGGGTGAGACTGTCCACCTGTTTATGGAGGCAGGCGAAGGAGGGTCTGTTCTGGAGAAGCTGGAGAGCTGTGGACCAATGAGAGAATTTGAAATTATTTGGGTGACGAAGCATGTTCTCAAGGGACTTGATTTTCTACACTCTAAGAAAGTGATTCACCATGATATTAAACGTGAGTACCTCTAGAGGTATACCTTTTTGGCTTAGAGACTAGAAGACCCCCAATAGCAGGGAGGACAGCACCCTCAGAGCACGGTCCACCCTTCTCTATGCTCCTGAGACAGGTCTTAGAATCGGATGGGTTGCCCATGCTTTCAGAGTCTCTAGGAAGGATGATTAGCCCACAGCTAGCTGTCAAAGAGGGTTACAGTCACACATATGTTAGGTTAGGTACTGCTTGTGCCTGCATTGGCAGAGCTTTTTTTTTTTTTTTGTCTTGAGAGATTTTTGCTACAGGGCGCATGCACTTGCCAGAAACACAGAGAGAGACAGAGAGATAGAAAGCGAGAAATCACCCCCCAGGGGGGATGGCCACGCTGCAGTCCCTTCTCCTCCATTCTCCTCTTGGGATCTTGGGCACGCACGCACACGTGCCTGGCGTGAGTTTAAGCCACCAGGTCCGGGACTCCAACCGCTGTCGACAACATGGGAGTCCAGTGACATAGCCATTACGCTAACGGCTGGTCCCCAGAGCTTTTAAACTAGTAATTTACTTAAAACATGGATTTCTGAGCACAGATAGCTTTTGGATCTTGCACATCTTCTTGACAACAATCTGCTAAAGAAGTCTTCACTGACCACGTCTTAGAGGAAGGAAGGATGGGGGAGTAGGCGAGAGAGAACCTTTACTCCCTAAGAGCTAGTCGGACTGGCACAACATTTCCTAGGGAAAAATAGGAATTTCACTTGTTTGCTTTAGAAAAGTGGCTTGACCATAGAGTGCTCCTATTTTAGAATTTGAAATTTAAGCTCTTGAGCATTATGCATGGCTCCAATAATTTATAGCCACACCGGTTGAATTCTTGATACATCTGAAATGATTGTTACCTTCACTCACTGAGATTTGGCCTCCTGTTTGGCCTATACCTCCGTCATTAGAGAAAGCATTCTTATCTCTTCTAAGTTGGGACTCATTGTAGGCAAGTGTTCATTTTATTTATGGGTATATAGACAATTTTACGTGAAACATTTCTCTCTCTTGATAGCCAGCAACATTGTCTTCATGTCCACAAAAGCGGTTTTGGTGGATTTTGGCCTAAGTGTTCAAATGACTGAAGATGTCTACTTCCCTAAGGACCTCCGAGGAACAGAGGTAATTCTACTCACATAAAAATTGTTAACTACCTGATTCGTAGCGAAAAGAAAAAACCTAACAGGATTACTGTGGGAAAGAAAGAGGAAGAGGAGGAAAACCAGTGTTAAATTGTTATCACCACTAGAACAAATTTAATGAACATTTGATTTGTGCCAATGTTAATTTTGGCACTTCATTTTTCATGTTTTTGCTGCTATTTATAATGCACAATAATAATCTTTGTAATATATATTATGATGTGTAGTATAAAACATTTAGAAATAATGTCAAAATAGATTATATCTGTAGTTCAGCTTTAAAAATAAAATTGTGCAATTATAGTTAACTGTGTACTTAATTTAGCATTTTCAGACAAAGTACGTTATTTCATCCTCAAAAAACCCTACTGTTGGTAAATACTATTATTGTGGAGAGATACTATTATTTCCTTTTAAAAACAAATTTGCCAGAGATCATGTGTGCTTACCAGAGAGAGACAGAGAGCAAGAGAGAGGGAAAATGAGAAAACAAGTCACCAGGCCCAAAATTCAAAACACCGTCAACCATGTGAGTCCAGTGCCTTGACCATGATACCAAATGCTGGTTTTATGATTTATTGTTTATTTAAAATATAAACTGATTTATAAACCAAGTAGAATATCCTGAGACTATATGCATCAAAAGCGGTTCTATGTTTTAATACAGGATCACTGTTCCTTCTTCCATGATTATTGAACACAGTGTAAGAAAAAATAAAATGAATTATTTTATGATTAAGACAGACACAATAAATAATTGTAGGCACCTGAATGTCATCCATGCCAGTGAAAGAACACAACTGCTCAGATGCTCCCCAAATGCTCATTCTGACATTAGAATATTCTACCATTTATTCCAATATTTTGTCCACCTTAATTGTGTTCATTCTAAGTTATGTTAAGGTTATATTGTGACTACTTTCTCCTCCCATCACTTTTGTGAAATCAAAGACAGATGAAGTCATGGCAAAATCAAGGAGACAGAGAGGAGAAAGATGGTGATGGGGAAGAAGCCATTCTGTGAGGAGAATTTACAGAGAACACGCAGAGTGGATCAATCATGTACATCTA